TATGAATTTAGACACAAAAAAGTCCCTACAGAATATTAACACACCAGATTTTAAAAATGTATAAAAATTATAAACCATGAACAAACTGGATTTATTTCAGATAGGCCAGTATAGTTGAAGATTTAAAAACTATCACCGGAATCTACATGTCAGTAAAGTGAAAGAGAAAAAGCATGTGATTATTGTAATTAATGCAAAAATGGCATTTTTTTAGTCTCAGTTACTTAATAATAGATTAGTACTACCTTAACTTCACAAATATTATTTAGCAAAAATGCACAGATTCTCAATGATGAAAGGCTATTATTGAAAAGAAGATCAGAATATTCCCACTCATTATTCTTTTCAATGTAGGCCTAGAATTTTTATCCAGTGTTTTAAGACAAGAAAAATAAATAAAATACACACAAATCAGAAGAAAAAACTATCTCTGTTGGAAAATGGTATGACTATCAATGTGGAAAATCACAATGAATATAAAAAACAAACAAAAACTTCCCAGAACTAAGAAGCCAATTCAGCAAATTTGCAGGATATAAGACTAATACACACACAAAATTATGTTTTTATGAAAAATAAATTCTGCCCATGTTACTCTAAAGATTGAATGAAATTTCTGTCAAATTCCCAGAAAAGCTTCTCGTAGACATAAATAAACTCATTCTAAAATTTATATGGAAATTCACATCTCCTAGATTAGCTAAAAGAAATTTTTAAAAAGAATAAAGTGGGAAGAAGCATTCTACTTTATCTTTAGCCCTAACATACTAGTACAATAATCAAGGCAGTGTGTATTGGCAAAAGGATAAAAGTAGATCAATAAATAGAAAAGAAAACCCATATATAGGTCTACACAAGTATTCTCCACTGATTTTTGACCAAAATGCAAAAGTATTTGATTAATGAACAGTTGCCTTGTCAACAAGTGGTACTGAAGTAATTTGATATCTAAAGGAAAGCTATAAAATAAATGGATTCAAAAAATGGATCATAAACTTTACTGTATAATTTAAAACTAAAAGAAAATCATAAAATCAATAGAAGCAAGTTCTGGTTCAAGAGATAGGACCTGTGATGGTGGATTCAGTCATCCCATAACAGATTGCAATCCTACCCATAGCAAACCTTAAAGACTCCACAAAAAGACTCCTAGATATAATAAATACATTCAGTAATGTTTTAGGATACAAAATAAATATATAGAAATCAGTAGCATTTCTACATATAATTATTGGTCAAACTGAGATTTTGATAAGGAACCAAGAACTCAAAACTATAATAGCTGCCAAAAGTAAAACAAACAACAAACAACAACAATAACAACAAAACCCCCAAAGAAACACCAAGGTATATATTTAACCAAGGAAATGAAAGATCTGAAAGATCTCTACAAGGAAAAAAACCCAAAACACTTATGAAAGAAATTACAAATGGGAGGTGCCTGTGGCTCAAAGGGGTAGGGTGCTGGCGCCATATGCCAGAGGTGGTGGGTTCAAACCCAGCCCTGGCCAAAAAAAAAAAAAAAAAAAAAAAAAAACTGCAAAAAAATTACAAATGACACAAATGGAAAAACATCCAATGCTCATAGATTGGAAGAACACCAATGCTGTTTAACGTGACCATACTTTCCCAAACAATCCACATATTCAATGCAATTTTTATCAAAATAACAATGCCATCCTTCACAGAAATGGGATTTAATTTTAAGATTAAAAAATCTTAAAATTCATATGGGACCAAAACAAAGAACCTGACTAGTCAAAGCAATACTAAGCAAAAAGATCAAAACTTTAAGCATAACATTGTCTGACTTCAAATTTTCCTATAAGGCTTTAGTGACCAAACCATCATGGCACTGGTATAAACGTAGGTGTATAGATGAATGGAACAAAATAGAAAACCCCAAAATAAAGTCATATGCGTATAATCAACTGATCTTTGCCAAAGCAGATAAAAACAGGCACCGGGGAAATGATACCATATTCAATAAATGGTTCTAAAAAAATTGGGTAGCCATATGTAGAAAGATGAAGATAACTCCCTCTCTCACCATATACAAAAATTAACTCAAGATGCATTAACTACTTAAAGGTAAGATATAAAGCCAAAAAAAAAAAAACTCTACAAGAAAATCTTGGAAAACCCATCTGAACTTTGGCCTACACAAAGAATTTATGACTAAGACCTTAAAAGGAAGTGAAACAAAAACTAAAAAACAACAACTGGATTTATTTAATCTAAAAGGCCTCTGCACAGCAAAGAAATATTCAATAAGCAGAAAAACTATAGAATGGGAGAAATATTTGCAAATGTTTTATGTCACAAAGAACTAATATCCAGAACTCACAAGAAAATCAAACAACTCAAGAAGAAACAAATAAACCCCTTAAAAATTGAGCAAATGATATGAATAGATAATTTTTGAAAGAAGAGATACAAATAACCAACAAACATACATAAAAATGATGAATATCACAATCATCAGCGAAATGCAAAAAAAGCCAGAATGAGATGCCACATTACATGGCCATTATTAAAATGTCAAAAATCAATAGATGTTGGTGCACATGTGTGAGAAGGGACAGTGTGGGATAGAAAGTAATAAAACTTCTGTGGAAAACAATATGGAAATGTCTCTAAGAACTAAAGGTTCATCTACCATCTGATCCAGCAATCTCACTTTTCAGTATCTACCTAAATGAAAAAAAGGCATTATATTAAAAAGATACTGAAACTTGGACGTTATTGTACTATAATTCACAGTGGAAAAAAATATGGAATCAGCCTTCATGTCTAACCAAATGATGAGTAATAAAGAAAATGTGGTATACATATTCCATAGAATACCACTAAGTTATAAAAAAGAGTGAAATAACACCTTTTGCACCAACTTGAGTAGGAGACTTGAGGCTATTATCGTTAGGGAAGAAACTCCAGAACAGGAAATAATATACCACAAGTTCTCGCTCACGAATGCAAGCTATGGGTATGCATGATTGTCCAAAGTGAAATAATGAACAGTGAAGACTTCAAATGTGGAAGAGAGAAGGGGTGAGAAAAGTTTTCCTATTGGGAACAATGTACACTGAATTAACAGCCTCACTGCTATACAATATATTCATATAGTGCTCGCTTCAGCAACACATATACTAAAATTGGAACGATACAGAGAAGATTAGCATGGCCCTGTGCAAAGGTAACACATAAATACGTGAAGCATTTCAGATTATTAAACCAAAAAAGAAATGAAAATAAATAATATATTCATGTAACAAATCTGCACTTGTATCCCTTAAGTATATTGGAATTAAAAACAAGAATCTATCAAAAAAATTGATAAATTTTATTTTATCGAAGTGAAAAACTTTTGCTGTGGCTGGGCCCAGTGGCTCACGTCTGTAATCCTAGAGTCTGGAAGGCCTAGTGGTTCAATTGCTTGAGCTCAAGTGTTTGAGACCAACCTGAGCAAGAGACGTCGTCATACTAAAAATAGGAAAAAAAAAAAGTGAGGTGGGTGTAGTAGCAGGTGCCCATAGTCCCAGCTACTCTGGAGGCTGAGGCAAGAAGATGGCTTGAGCCCAATAGTTTGAAGTTACTGTGAGCTTTGATGACACCAGAGACCTCTCCCCAGGGTGACAGACACTCAGTCTCAAAAAACAAATAAATAAATTTTTTAAAAGTTTAAAAAAAATCTTTTCTCTGTGCAAGCTAATATGAAGAAGAGGAAAAAACAAGCTTCAGACTGGGGGGAATTGTTTGCAAACTCTATATCTGAAAAAGGACTAGTATCTGGAATATATAAAGAAGTGTGACTACTCCATAGTTTAACACAAAGAAAGAAAATAAACAAGTAAGTCAATGAAAGAAAGATTAGAAAATAGAAAAACACCATCAACAGGTATTTTACTAAAGAGACTATAGATGGTGTGATGGTTAATTTTATGTGTTAACTTGACTGATCTAAAATTCGCCTCGATAACTGCTATAACATTTTTGGGTGGTCTGTCTGGTAAGGATATTTCCAGAAAGATCAGCATTTGAATCTGTTGCCTGAATAAAGAAGCTCTCCCCTGACCAATGTGAGCAGCTGTCCTCCAATTCACTGAGGGCCAGAATACAACAGAAAGGCAGAGGAAGGCTGAATTCTCACTCTCTTCTTAATTTGCAACATTTGTTTCTTGTGCTTTGAGACATCAACAGTTCTGATTTGTGGGCTTTCTGACTCTGAGCCTTACACCAGCCTAATCCACATGAACTTTCTTGGGCCTTAAGACTCAGACAGAATTCTGCCATTGACCTTTCTGTTTCTCCAGCTTGCAGATGGCATATAATGGGACTGACTCCTCAGACTCCAAAACCATGTGAATCAATTGCAATAATAAATCTTCTCTTGTATATCTAGTACAGTATATTCTATCAGTTCATTTCCTCTGAAGAACCCTAGCAATTACAGATAGAAAAATCAGCATACGAAAAGATGAAAATGCAAGTTGAAAGCACAATGTACTTACACACTTATCAGGATGGCGAAATAAGAAATAGTGGTAATACCAAATGCTAGCAATGATGAAGAAAAATGGGATTACTCATACAAAGCTGGAAAGGTAAAATGAAAATGGTTCAGCCTCTCTGGAAAAACAATTAGACAGTTTCTTCTTCTTTTTTTTTTTTTTTCCTTGCTGTTTTTGGCTGGGGCTGGGTTTGAACCCGTCACCTCCAGCATATGGGGCTGGCACCCTATTCCTTTGAGCCACAGGCATGGCCAGTTTCTTTTAAAACTAAAAACTCACCTACCATTCAAATTGCATATACACTTGGGTTTTTTCCCCAGGAAAATGAAAACTTATATTCATAAAAAAATTATATGTGGATATCTAGGCAGCTTGATTCATAGTAGCTTAAAGTTAGACACACCCTGATGTCCTTCAGCATATGAATGGTTAACAAACCATGGCACATCCTCTGGATTATGGAAAACTCAGCAATAAAAAGGAATGAGCTTATTGATACATGTAATAGTTGGATGAGTTTCTAGGGTATCATTCAAGTAAAAACACTAATCCCAACGGGTTTTATACTGCATAATTCTATTTTAATAACATCTTGATATGACAAAATTAAAAGTAGAGAACAGATGAAGCATTGCCAATAGTTAGGATATTGAGGAGGAGCATGGAAGGAAGCAGAGTGGCTATGAAAGAGATCCTTTTGGTGACAGAACTGTTCTGTGTGTGGATTGTATCAATGTCAGTATACTTGTGATATTATACTGTGGTTTTGCAAGATGGGACCTTTGGAGAAAGCTGACTGGAATGTACATGTGACCTCTCTGTATGATTCGGTACATCTGTATGACAATTTACATTCATTCCAAATTAAATATTTAACTTAAGAAATTATCTTGTCACTACTCTTCCATTTGTTGTTTAATTTTATGACAAAAAACAATTTTTGATACAGATATATAAATGATACAGCTTTGTTCAGCATTGTGATGTATAACTATATACACGTATGTATACATATATCCTTCAAGATTGTTACCATTGCACGAATGAATTTACTTTGAGAACACAAATGTTTTTACCATATGCCTTTCAAATGATTATTAATGGTGAAACAAAAACAATCTACAGATCTCAGTAATGACAGAATAGTGAATGTTCAACTATTAGTCCAGCAATGACTAATAATTATTGACAAATTCCAAAGATACTTCTCATCAACATCTCCCTGAAAAGTAATAGCAAACCCCAAAGAGCTATGTGAATGTCTGCTATTATCTTCCTGTTTCTCACAATAATGTCTTATTTATCTTCTGAATTATTACCTTCCCCTTGTAGATTTCCCCTCTAGATTTAAATAAATACCACCATCTGGGCTCCACCCCCTACTTATTTCTCAATGGGTCCATGTCAATTTCACTTTGGGGGTTCTCATCCTCGCTCTAAATCTAGGTTTTGGAAATTAATTATATATGCATTTATAGGTGACAAATGATTCTGAGCCATTTCTGCCCCTGTTATGTCATTAGAGTTCTATCTAAAAAAAAAAAAGCTGAGATAAAATTAATTTCCTTCCTTACATGGTAAGATAAATAAAACTTGATTAAACAATACGAAGAGGCCAGATTTTTCTGTTTTGTTTTTTGTTTTTATGTTTGTAAAATTATACTAGCAGTTTTTTATGGGGATCTTTCTGTCAATTCAGGATGTGACAGATACTGAAACTCATCTACTAGATATTAATATATAGGTTCTGGTGCTAACACATTGAAACTGTTAAAGGAGGGAAGATATTCCATCTTTTTTTATTTTGACTATCCCTAGAGAATCCAAAATTAAATGATGGTTGTTTTAATAGGTATTATTCAAGCAACTAATTCTAGAAAACCAATTACATTTACTAGCTCATTTAAATGGCATTCTATTAGCTTCTGAAAACAGAGCAAGCATCCTCTTACTTGTTAATGTTTATCTTAAAAATGAGATCAATATTACAGTATCCACCCGTATACCTAAACAGATCTTCATGCTTCCTGAAAAGTTGTGTATCGTATTACCGTCATGATTATCTTTAATTGCCACGTTGTGTGTTGAAATTGTAGTTTACATGTATTTCATTTCAGACATATCCTTTAAAATTCTTACAAGACATACAGAGATATATTTTTAATTTGTGGAGATATGAGACATTATAGTGTGATACATTATTTTGTTTTACCTTTTCTCGGAGAGGCTTTTCTGAACATGAATGAGAAATACCTATTTTAATTAATTATAAGGTTAACTATGCATAGCTAATATCACTTATAATACCAGTTTAGAATAATCACATTGCAAATAACATTAAACACCACTAATATGTTACGAGAGAAACATTTTAAACCCACTTCTCACTGAGTTGATTGTGATTTTTATTATCAATATTTTGTTTCAAGTCTCAGGGGACTCTTTTTGGAGGTCTGATGCTCTTACAGAGCATCCTTTAGAAACATGTGTATAGGGTAATCAAAGTTTTATTTTTAAACTAAAAAAGGATTTCGAAAGGCGATGTTAAGCCCTGAAATTGCGTATGTGTAAGGTTGTGGTGATTACTTGTCCATGTGTGCTCCTCCCTCAACAAAAATATTTATTTGTAAGATCTCTTTTTCTTAGCAGCCACACTTCTCAACAAGTCCTAACAACTCTGCCTTGCAAGTCACTCAGAAATTCAGAGACATCTCATACTTTCACGTAAGCTACAGAAATTTGGGGCACTGTTATTTCTTAGATTTTTGCAAAAGGTAGTAACTGATCTTTTTGCTTCTGTACTTTTCATGTTTCATCACAGAGGCCAGAACAGAAAAGAATGATATAATTTTTCTGTTCAGAATTTTCTAATAGTTTTAAGTAAATTTAGAATGAAATTCATCCTCCACACCATGGTCAACAAGATCCCATAAGACCTGCACCCACTATTTCTTCTGTCTCACCTTTTACCCCATCCCTCCTGTTTTCTTTTCAAACTGAATTTTGTGTCATTGCTTAAATTACAAATTTGTTCCCATCTCAGATATACAGGGTGGACATAAAGTTCATGTACAGTTTAAAGTTACAATTATTTGAATTGCACACAAGCTTTATATCCACCTGTATTACTTGATATTCCCTCTGTCTGGAGCATTTTTTATTTAGTGTTCACATGGTCAGTTGTTTTTTATTTGTTTGTTTGTTTGTTTGAGACAGAATCTCACTTTGTTGCTCCAGGGTGGAGTGCTCTGGCAGCACAGCTCACAGCAACCTCAAACTCCTGGGCTCAAACGATTCTCTTACCTTAGCCTCCCAATTAGTTGGGACTACAGGTGCCTGCCACAACTCTCAGCTATGTTTTTAGGGGTAGGGTCTCACTATTGCTCAGGCTTATCTCAAACTTGTGAGCTCAAGCAATCCTCAGCCTCCCAGAGTCCTAGGATTACAGGTATGAGGTGACAAAAAAGACTGTCTCAAAAAAAAAAAAAAAGATATTGGGTAAAAATTTCAGCTCCTCTCTGAGGACCTAGAATTAGAGTTATAACAATAACATTAATATATCACACTGTTATACGTAGGTGTACATATAAATATGATTGTATTATGTAACATTTAATAAATTGCATGCATTGGTTTATCAATTATCAAATAATTCTTTTCATATGTATCAACTTTTATTCTTTTCAGGGAGTGGAGTATTAAAATCTCTGAAACTCAGTA